AATTTAAAAAAAAAAAGAAAGAGGTGAGGTTATTGTAAAGCAGGGGAGAGAGAGGCAACTGCCTATGCAAAGGCCCTGAGGCAAGGTCATGACTAGAGACTCTAGGAGCAGGAAGAAGACCAGCATGACTGGAGTGGTACAAGCAATGGGAAAGTAGCAGGCAGGTGAGAGAGGTAACCAGGGGAGGTGATCATGCTGGACCTTAGAACTTCAGCTTTCCCACTGAGTGAGATGAGGATCCATAGCAGGGTTAGCAGCAGAGGAGAGACAAAATCTGACTTCCATTTTAAGGGGATCATTCAGCTGTCCCATTAAAAACCAGCCTGCTAGATTACAATCAGCTAGAACAAGGATGATGGTGGCTTGACTGGGATGGGAGGAGATGGCCAGGGAAATAGTAAATTCCAGATACGGAAACCGAAGACAGAGCAGCAGGATTTCTAGCAGGTTGGACTTTGGATGTGGGAAGGTTTGTGCCTGGCCCAATAAGAAGAAGTCCCTAACCATCATTGACTTAGAAGGGGGCTTGCTGTGGTAGAGCTTGCTTGGGGTAAGGGAAGGGACAGAAGCTCAGCTCCATGTCTAAAACACCTTTGAGATCGCCAAGGAGAGCAGGCAGCTAGATGTCCATGTCTGCAGTTCAGGAGAGAGGACCATCTTGGGACAAGTCCATCTGGCAGTTGTCCGTATATAAATGGTATGAAAGCCCTGAGGCTGGCGGAATTATCCAATGGGGCATGGGAAATAGGAAGAGGATCAGGGATGGAGACCCACAGCCCTCCTGCATGGAGGTTGTGTTGAATAGTGGAACATGACTGCCTTGGGAAGCAGGACCCTAGCTCCCCAGCTCCTCGACTATTTTTCCCTTTACATGCAGACCTCCTCCTTCGAAACACTGTAATTAACTTCAACTTCTGATACTATGAAGGAAGCTTATTCTCCCATTTCAGACCACATCCCTACTTCTCAGTAATTTATACTAATTATTAACAAACACACATGCACCAGCAGCTCAATGCCTGAGGCAGCTTCCACACCTCAGTGAAGCATATTATTGTCCTCACTCCAGAGGATAGAATGCTTTCCTTGGGAACATGGACGATTCTTTGCCAAAGCACTGGTTACCATTCAGTATGTTACTATGGAACTCTAGACTTCACTTAAGATCTGTTACATTGCCTGGACCATTTCTAATGCAAATAAAGAAAAAGACATTACCCTGTGAGGGTATTTTGCAATAACCACAGTGATCATAATCCATCGTATATTGATGGATTATGTGCCAGATATTAACAGATACATTAGCTCTGATCCTTATAATAAATAAAAGAAAGATGTTTGCAAGCCAAGTATAATCAATTTATAGATGATGGCACTAAGTCTCAGGAAGATCCAATGGCTTACCCATGACCATGAAGAATCAGAACTACAGACGTTGTTACTATATTCCAGTGGTGTAAACTTCTGAGCTCAGTGTGGAACTAGATAACAATCATGCTGACACTGAGGATCTCAAAATGAATATGGCCTCTGAAATAAGAGAGTGCATCTTCATTTTAAATCCAAATGCTTCTAAACAGAATGATCTGCTTCCCTGCTCCACGAGGCCAATGAATCCTGTCTTTAGAAGATGCAAACATGGGGACACCTGGGTGGCTCGGTTGGTTAAGCGTCTGCCTTCAGCTCAGGTCATGATCCCAGAGTCCTGGGATCGAGTCCACATTGGATTCCTTGCTCAGTGAGGAGCCTGCTTCTCCCTCTGCCTGCAGCTCCCCCTGCTTGTGCACTCTCTCTCTCTGACAAATAAATAAAATCTTAAAAAAAAAAAGGAAGATGCAAACACGGGAGAACTCAGCCTGGTAGACATCCTGGATTCAATCCAAAGAAACAAAACCACAATTCCTCCATTCTGTGCCGCTTCCTCTAAGCCAGGAATCAGCAGAGTTTTTGCATAAAGGATCAGATAGGAAATATTTAAGTCTGTGGCCATACAGTGTCTGTCCCAACTACTCAACTTGAGGTGTTTTTTTTTTTTCTTTTAAAAAGGTTCTATTGTGATCTCTTCTTTTTACACCTAACAACTTTCCCCAAAGGGATGATACATAATCTTTATTCTAAAAGAACATATAGATGATGTACTGATAGCATCTGGCCAGGGGTATCATTGATTGTTTTAAGTAAAAATTAAGAACCTCTTTTTTTCTTTTTCGTCCTTGGTGTTGATACCAGCCCAAATAAAGTTTCCAATAAAACTTTATTTACAAAACCAGGAGCTGGCCATGGACCATAGTTTTCCAACACCTGAAAACCCTCCCTGGGTCTCCTACCTCACATCCCCCTCTCGATCTGCACTTGGAACACCTTTTCATTTCAGCTCTATGAATAGAATCAATGAGGCTTTCGTCTCCTCCAACAGCTCATTAATAGAGAGCTCAGATGCCATCGAGCTGATGACACTCCCAGAGCCTCTCCATGTTCATCTCCTTCCCATTTTAATATGCTTCCATTCATCATTCTCTCTTGTTTACTGTCTTGTAGCACTTTTCACTCCTGGTGTCAGCGCTTGTAGGCAAACCATGGGAGGAGCATCTACATCTGCTCTCAGCTGTCTTCATGATTAAGCGTTCAGACGTTTACTTGCTCTTCATAATAACTGTCTGGGCCAGAATGGGCTGGGTTAGGCCTTGGGAATTTCTACCCTTCAAATTTTAGGATCATTTTCTCCTAGAAACTCTTTCAGACCTTGGCAGTATCTTGTGCTCGATCGATTGGTTCAAATAACTGGTCTGAAGTGTGGTGTTTATTCATTCATTTAGCACTGAATTGTTGAGCACCCAGGCGGTTTTGTGCCAACCCTGTGCTGCATGTCAGGGATGGGAGCCATGGTCTCTGCCCTCAATAGCTACAGTGTCTACCTCTCACATGCTTATAAAATCAATCATGAGGGCAAAAAAAAAAAAAAAAGAAAGAAAAAGCAAGCAACTGTGCTCTTTGCTCTCACTCATTTGTGTAAAGTTGATTAATGGTTTTGAAGGGAGCAAGGATGAATACTCATTTTAATCACTGAACTTCTTGAAGAATGTGTGGGCTATAAAGTGATTATGGGGTAATGTTTTGTCCCCACAATCCAAATAACCAATACACCAAAAGACAGTTTGCAGTAAAAGAGCTGCCTGGTCAGTGTTTTACTTCTTTCAAGCAGCACCTAATTCCACAGATTCCAGTAAAACCAGAGAATCCAGACAGATACCCGCTACCAGGATTTTGTAGTGATGGGATTTTGTCCTAATTTGCCAAGGTGATGAGGTGATTTTTATAGCTTCAGGTCTCAGATCTCCAGTGCGTTAAGATAGTAATGACCAAAGCTCTGGATGATATTCCTTCTGTAGTGGACAGCCTTCTTTCTGCTGGATCCTTGATTGGGGGTGGGCGAGGGGGGATCTTCCTTCTTTTTAAATAGATCAAATGATGGATGGGCAGTTCCTCCCCAGGAGTCTTTCCCAGAGGCCAATGGATAGCCCCTCCATGAGGACGAACATGTAACCTTCAACTGTCCCTTCAAGCTGGCCTCTAGCCTGTGGTCCCTTTAACCTGCTTCTGAAGCCTTTGTCACCACCCATGTGTCACCACTCTCCAGATAGGCCCAGTGGCTTGCAGGCTCCTGAATCTCTTTAGATCTTGGTTTCCACGTTCTGTTCAGTTCTCGCTCTCCACATTTCTCCACGTGGCCAATTTCTTTCACCTGTCATGACTCAACCAATGTCACCCTCCCAATCTCCTTATCAGCCTGAGCTGGGTGACCTTCTGCTGTTCCCCCACAGCTCCCCCAAGCTGCCTTCTGCCAAGTCACTCAGTCAACACTACTGTCGGCGTCTGCTCATTTGCTGGTCTGTCCCACAAGATTTTGTGTCCTCAAGGAAAGGGGCCATGCCTTGGTCCCTGCAGCCCACGTATAGCTCCCAGTACATGCTAGTGTGTCATAAATGCAGCTGCCTGGCCCAATGATTGAGTGGATACACACCCTCCCCTTTGGAAAGTAGACGTTTACATATTTTAAAACAATGGCATTTTTTTTTTTTTATCATTGCACTGTATTCTTTTGTCCTGGCTCAACTCCCCAAACTTCTGTGGCTTGTCTGAGGATGTGGCTTACACACCTCTTGCCATCAACTTTCCCCTCATCTGTCACCATGCCTCTCGAACCACTGTGCCTAGAACTCATCACAGAGCCCCAGACGTGCACATTGGACTTGGGAGCTTCCCTCTCAGTGACCCAAGCTCTTCATTTTCACCGATGTCCCCATTTTGCTCTAAGATTTATGGTAGAGACAGGGGCAGGCCCAGACTTGAAACTTTTGTTTGGAGATAATGCATAATCTCTAACATGTGCACATGGAAATGACCAGAGGGCAGGCTGGTGTATACGAGGGAGCTGAGGGTAAGGTATAATGATAAAGAACAGCAATGAAGAGAGTCCATGGAAAGCCTTCCTGGAAGAGGAGGCCTTAGAGGTGTGGGCATAGGGAACCTGCAGGGTACAGAGGAGCACTGGAGAGAGGTATTTCAGACTGGGAAAACAGCCTAAGCAAAGGCCCTGGGGCTGGAGGTGTTACTAGAGGGACAGCGAGGTGGCAAATTCGGGATGTGAGATTAGAATTGCTTCATTATGAAGGGCCTGCCAACCTAGATTTAAGAGTTCTGTTTTTATCTGGTAATAGCTTTAGGGAAGGTCAAAGATCTTTTTTAGAAAAGAAGTTGGGACTTGGTGGCGTGGGAGTAGCAGAAAAAATGGGAGGCTACAAAAGTGTAGGCACAAACCAAAGGTTTCATGAGATCAGCAGCAAAGAGGAAGCACCCTTGAAGGGCACCCACCACGGGCAGAGGAGTCAGAGGGATGAGAAACAGGAGCAAAATCTGTGCACACCAGAGGACAGTCATGTGCGGATAACAGGGACTGTAGAAGACAGGGTGGAAGGTGCTGGAGAGAGTGATGGGGGCAGGGGGCTGACCCCTTGAATAGGTGAGAAGGGGCAGGGCCTGCTCTCCAGGGAGAAGGGACATGCCCTCCTGATGCTGGTGGAGGGGGGGAACTGAAGGTTGCAAGCCAGACAGACAGAGACACAGGCCAAAGTGAAGGCAGAGCAGGTAAGGGAGATAGTCCAGAATGGCCTCAGGCTCTGTAGCAGAGTGGACACTAAGCCACTCAGCTAAGGATTAGGACTTGAGGGAGCTTAAGGTGTGATCTAGAACAGCCATGGTGAGGAGTGACCAGGAGATCTTGAGTGAGGAGAGAAAAGACGAGGCCTCAGTAGGAGCAAGACAAAGGGCAAATGTTGTCCAGTTTGCTTCCACTGACCTCAGAGACACCACAGGATTTTGCAAACCTGCACATGCTTTGTTATTCTATCAATGAACCCTGGAGCGGGAAGGGGCAGAGAATGACAATGAGCCTCCCAGCCAGGCTCTGAGAGCCCAGCCGTTCGCTCAGAGCCTTCTTTTTTAGAGCACCGCCACCTCGTGACACAGAGCTGATTCTTCATTCCCTTGGTCCAGGCCAGACTGTCCCCCATTCAGAGGGGGGGGCCCGGGGCCAGTGATGGCTTCCAGCAGATGGGGCCTGGGTGCTCCAGGGTGGAGCAGGTGTGGATGAGGCACTCAGGAGCAGGCTGCAGACTGTTCTTGCTCTTTTTCAGGAGCACAATGAGTTCAACTCCTCCATGGCCAGGAGCCAGACCAACACGGCACGGATCGATGGCCTACGGCCCGGCATGGTGTACGTGGTGCAAGTGCGTGCCCGCACGGTGGCCGGCTACGGCAAGTTCAGCGGCAAGATGTGCTTCCAGACGCTGACGGATGGTAAGAGGCGGGCCAGTGAACTGCTACAGGGCCAGCGCTTGGGGGAGGGAAAGGAGACCCAGGAGGCTGCCCTCGGAGCCCCAAAGCCAACCTCTCGATGGAGTCTGGTGCCGTTCCCTTGCCTCCAGAGGGGCTGTGCACACTTGCATGATTCACAAGGCAGGGCATCTGTCTGAAGTCTGGCCTGTTTCTCTCCTAGCATCTCAGGGGTTTGCCTTCAAAGGGTCTCTGCACCACATGCAGGGAGGTCACGACCGTGAGACCCACACGTATCTCGAGGGCCATGTGCCCTCCTGCCTCTGGATTAGGCCCAGTGCCTCCGCTGCTTTACCCTCACTCCCACTTCACCCCCTATTCTGGGGGACTGGGAGCTGAGCCTAATTGCATGAGCCAAGGTCTCCAGGAAGGAAACAGAGGGGCAACACTGGGGGTGCAGCTGTCCCTCGTACCCAGCATCTCAGCTTATTTGAAGCAACTTCTCATGGGACTCCAGTAGGTTCTGTTCATGTGTCACCAGAGATAAAAGACACTGTCTTCCAAACCGTCCCCAAGGCCAGAAAGTCTGTCACCCAAAATACTTCCACCTTTGGGCTTTGTTAGTTCCCTATTATAACGATCTCTCTCAGTCCTCGAGACCACCCTTTTGAATGGTTGTGAAAAATCTGATTTCCCTGGAGCCTGAGCATTGAGCATGGGGTACCTGCCTGTGCTCACTCACTCCCTTTGTCAGCCATTTACCATGGTGCATGCTTTTGTTTATCTACTTACTATCTATCTGTTTTATTTATTCATTCATGAGCTGTTGCCTGATAGTTTTCCAAATATCAGTATATTCTCACCCTCCTCAACTGAAAGCCTTTACTTTTTCACTTATTATTTACATTATATACAAAATAGTCTGCCCTTCCAGACATTTTATTTTAGGCCAACACTCTCTGACTAGGCACATGATAGGACTTAAGGTTTTATATTGACTCCTGTTACAATTTTTAACAATTTAAAAATTCACCAGAAACATTTTAAAAATCAGATAATTTCATATGAAAACCATAATGTGCTTTTTCTTGGGAAACATTGCAAAGAAGCTGATGCTGGTGGGCATTCTAGAGTGAGGGCTCTGCCCCTGAGCTGGGAGGGGGCTGCCCCCATGGAGGGTCTGCACCTTCCCGGTGATTTGTACCCAGATACTTTCACGTACTGTCTGGCTCCTGTAGGATTGGCATTTGCAACCCATTTTGAGGGTTTTTTTTTAGGTGAATCTTCACTCATATTTTGAGGATGGTGAGATGTGGTGGAAAGGCAAGCCAGTTTATTCAGATGAATAATGCTGCCCGTATGAAAAGAACGCAGGCTGTCTCCTGTTCCTGAAGGACTCTGTCCACTCTTTGCATCTCACTTACCATCTCGATTTATGGGCACTTTGCATCAGGAAGTACAGGATTAAAAACCCAAAACTCAGAATTCTCTGAGCCCTGGTCTCTTGGCAATTCTGCTAGACAAATCAAGAGGTAACACATTTCTCCCAAGAAGACTATTCCTTTTACATTTGGCAGTTAAGTTTTATAAACCCAAGAGAGGCTAGATGTAAGAGAGTTTTGGTAAGTGGCCAAATTCAAGAGTATTTATCTTAATGACTGAGGTTCATACCTCGGTAGTAATTAAGTTCACTGAGGCATCGGGCCCTGTCTTCAGCACAAAGATGAGTCTGAAGGGTGATCAGTATAGGGTCATTGGAGCAAGGGGACTTGTGGGATTCTGCCCAGGGTCAAAGACCAGGCAGGGAACCACCACATGGTGGCAGAGCCACAGTGTGCCTACTTTTGACTTACTTGCTTTTTTTTTGTAACCCATTCATAAAGTATGGTATTTGCATGTTTATCAAACAGTCCAGGTGATTCTTAGGCTCCCTGGTGTTTGAGAATTATCCTTCAACTCTGTGAGCCAAAGAAGACACTTCTACAGATAAGGGTGTTGATTCTTGAAGGTTCTCACTCTTTAGAAATCAATTTTAAAGACTGAAGGTCACATTGCTTTATGCAGTTTTTAAGTTATAAAGATGTTTTTATGGACTCTTCACTGTGGTTCCTTGAATTTCCTTTTTTTTCCCCCCAAATTATTTTTTTTTAAAACATGCGTGTTACAGAAAGCTCTCAGCTGAGGGAAACTGAAACTCTACCCTCAGTCTTTAAAATTGATATCTATGGAATGGTTGGCTTCAAGAACAATATCCTTGTCTTTGGAAGTCTCTTTCCCCACCCACCGAGTTGAAGAGTGGTTCTTAAACTTTGAGAAGCATGGGAATCACCTGGAGTATTTGGTAAACATGCAGATGTCCTGCTCTCCGCTCAGAGGTTCTGATTCAGTAGATCTGAGGAGGGGCCCAGAAATAGTCATGTTTAATCATCGGGCTTGGGTGATTCTGACGCAGGGCATGGGGAACTTCACTTCAAGAGCTATCGCTGTTAGGGTTGCCAGGTAAAATACAGGATGGCCAAATAAATTCGAATTTCAGACAAAGAACCAACAGTATTTAAGTCCAAGTATCTCCTGTGCAATGTTTGGGGCACACTTAGACTAAAGCATTACTCATTGTGTATCTGAAATTCAAATGTAACTGGTGGGCCCATATTTTTATTTACTATATCTGGCAACCCTCACTGTAGTAGAATATATAAAGCTTGATCTCTATATGCCTCCATCCTGAGCACCAGGGGAAAGAATAACCACTGTGTCAGCCGGGCCAAGTGGTTTCTACAGATTAAGGCAAAGAGTATTAATATTTGGGGCACCGTGTGATAGTGCAGACATTGTGAAATGTGCCTCACATAATCTGATCATTTTATTAGTGCCTTTTTTTTTTTTTTTTTTTTTTTTAGCAGAAAGGAGTCTGCGGGTCGGAGGGACTAAAGACTTTGTCCAAGAGCACAGGGCTGGCACAGGGGAAAGCCAGGCTTTGGGCGAGCTCTGTTGGCCTCTGTGACTCAGGGACTTCCCATCCACCTGCGTCACATAGCACAGTTCTGACCTTGGAAGAGGCCTTGACCCTGTTCTCCTTGAGTGGGAACTGTGGAGAGCTGGGCCATTTCCTGCCGTTTCTTTATCCCCCACAGCATCTGGCGCAGGGCTGCCCGGCCGCAGATATTCTGGAAATACCTGCTCCGTGAATCCGTGCGCCCTGCTGCATTTCAACACCTTTGTGTTTTAGGAGATACTCCCGCAGTGGTTTTCAGTCTTCCCCTTAGACTTATCCTTAGCGTCACTGACCGGCCTTTGAGAGACCTTCCAAATGAGGGGATGTAGATTGGAATCACCTCTGCTGGGGGGACGGATGTCATCAGCATTTGGTTCTGAGCTTCTGTCACCGCTGTTCCGTTTTTATTGTGGCTGTCATTTGGTTTTAGTCATCTTTGTCTATTTGTGACTTGAAGATCACTCTTTGCTTCAGTTGGGCTCTGAAGCAGAGAAGCCATACTCCACATGTACAGGTATATATCTATATATATTTATAATGTCTTTGATGTCATGCACTGAGTCCCGGCGGTATGCAAAGGGCACACAGGAAGGACTCTAATGGCGCTTTGTCCCCTAGATGACTACAAGTCCGAGCTGAGGGAGCAGCTGCCCCTGATTGCTGGCTCAGCGGCCGCCGGGGTGGTGTTCGTGGTGTCGTTGGTGGCCATCTCCATCGTCTGCAGCAGGTAGGCTTTCCACTTCGGCTCCCCCCCTGCTCGCCTTGGGCCCAGGAGGCCCCTCTCCACGTGCAGGCCCCTCGACGGGGCCTAACCATTCATAGACATGCTGTGAAGCTCATGGTCATCCCTCCATCTCAATCCATGGGCAGCTTAGAATTTGCCAGATTATGTGTTTGCTCTGTGCCTGGGATAAAATCCTCCCTGAGAGCTGGGCGAGGCTGTGAGTAAACAGCATTTGTCTTCCAACCTCCTTTTATTCCCCCTCACTGTCAGACTGACAGTTCCCAAATTGCATTTGACCCACTGGAGCATCACCCCCCATACCGGTGTGGCCCATCCTCTGGTTAGAGAGCCAAAGCCCCCAGCAGAGGGCACAAGGCAGGCGGGCAGGAGGGGAGCCACGGAGGAAAACAGGAACTCCCAAGTTCTGCAGAAGGGCGGGCCCTGAGGCCTTGTGAATTTTTAATATGGTTGCTACCGCCTTTGGGGGCTTAGCCCAGATTCTGATGCGTGAAGCAGAGGAGTTGGCTTCCCCTGAGCTGTTCCGCGGTATAGCCAGCGTGCTGATGGCTGTCCTCAGCGGCTCTGCCCCCAACTCTGATGGGGGACCCACAGCCCCGCCTGGCCTCTGAAAGACCTTGACTTGAAAGCAGATCTGGCTGCCCACAGTGGTGGTCAGGCCAGGAAGCAGGACAGGAGCTAAATGCTAGAGTGAGAGCTGCCCGGTTCCCAGCCCCTGGGAGATGCCTGAGTGAGCGCCCATTGGGACAGGGGAGCTGGGCGGACATCGCTGGAGCGGAGCAGCGAGCGTGAGCCCCAGCTGAAAGAGCTCCTCTTGCTTGCCTCCACAGGAAGCGGGCTTACAGCAAAGAGGCTGTGTACAGTGATAAGCTCCAGCATTACAGCACCGGCCGAGGTGAGTAGAAAGCACACAGCCCCTTCCTGGTAAACGAGGTGAGTGCTTGGAGGGCTCCCTATAGCCAGACTGGCCGGTCCCAACCACAGGACTTCTTCCAGCCCTAAGTGCCCCAGCAGTGGCCTCTCTCTGCAGGTTCCCACGGGCCTCAGGCTGCCTGCCCGCTCTGCTGTTTGCCCATAGTGGGCACTCATTGGGCGCCCGGCGGGTAGATTATCTTCCCCATTGATAAGCCCATATAGGACACAGAAAGCTGGGGAAAAGATTGGGTTTAGCAAGCCAATGAATCCTGAAATCAGACTCAGTGGGAAAAGATGGAGGGTTCTCTATTAACATCTTCTGTCTTATCTTATCCAATTGAGCGGCTGGGGAATGTGTTAACCAAATTCACAGATAAGCTAGAGAACATGAATGTAGGGAATTAAAAAGATAGCAGAGCCCAAGAGGCCAGCGTGTTGGGATATCTCCCAAGTGTTTTCTTTTAAGCAGTACCTTTAAAAGTTTTTCTCACTCATTATCCTACCCATCTCTCTTTTTTTAAAACCTATATATATTTTTCTAACTAAAATTTCTCCTCACCCACATACAGTGTAAAGTCCTATGTCGAAATGATTCTTTTATCTGTGTCCTTACAACATTGTGGGATCTGAACAAGGTCCCCTCTAGGTCAGTTGGGCCACTTCCCCACTTCCAGAAAGCTTAGATCCTCGGGCCATGTTCTCTTTCTAAATAACTCCTTTTGCATTCCGCAGATGCCCCCAGAAATGCATGGCAGCACTTTTGCACTGTGCTCTGTCACAGGCTCCTTCTGGAAGCCTCATCTCACCTAAACCCCCTGGTGCAATGCCAACCCCTTTCTTCCTGTTCACTCAACAGTGGGCATGGAAGACAGACCTCGTGGACACCCCCCCCCCCACCACCCAGCATGCCTTCGGTTGGCAGTTCCTAGAGCGAACATTGGCTCAAAGGCAAAATTTCTTATGGAAACTCTTTCCTTCTCCAAGGTTCCCCAAGGCAGGAAAGTGAGGCCAGGAGCTTCACCCAGCAGGTCCACCTCAGAGAAGCCAGTGCAGGCTGGGACTGTATGCAGGCCACTCTATAGAAATGGCTTTGCTCTCGGGGTGGGGGAGGGGTGGGGGGGTTTCAACCAAAGACCAAGAAATGGCCAAGGGTTTGTAGAGGACGGAGCCCCAGGCGGCTGGTTGCTGTGCCCAGGCTATTATTACTGGGAGGAAGGTGGGGGCTCGGTGTGGGCTGCGAGGGGCCGAGACTCTCCCACAGGGGTCCAGGGCAGCACAAACATGGTGGGGGATTGGGAGAGTGGTCCCCTTCTAAGACTATGGGCAAAGTTCCTGCAACACTCAGAATCCTATTTACCATCCTTCCTTTCCCTGTCCCGGCCACGCTGTCCTCCATTTTAACCAGTTGTAACTGGTTTCACAGGGGGAAACCTTACTGCATTCTCTGACTCTGTGCCTCACTGCAAAACCTACAGATATGCTTACCTATCTTAACCTGTGCATTTGCCCTTCCAGGCAGGCTCTTAGCTTCCCCAGCTGATAAACAAAGACTTGGATTTATCTCTGATTCTCAAGTGAAGGTCCCCACCCCCCAAACCGAGCATCAGAACTACCTGAAGGGCTTTCCCCACCCCCCTGCTTCCCCGCTTCTGCCTCGGGATTCTGACATTGCCCCCACCCACCCCCTGCTCTGGGCTGACTCCCGGCCATATTAAGGGCCACTGTGAAGTCCATTTCAGATTTGGCATCCTGTGAGCTCTTTTGATGAAATATTTAGAGATGGCCATTTCTGCCTGAATGCAGAGGATGCAAAATCGGGTTCAAGAGGAGGAATGCCATTTTGGAGACTAGAGATGCCCTAGGGTGAGAATAGGGTACCCTAAGAAGGTGCTCCCCTTTTTAAAAGGCAGGCAAGCTAAGCCTTGTCACTCCTTGGGCAGGGTACAGAGGGTCCCCAGGCATTAAGTCCAGGTGCGGCTTGGTGCCCGTTGGGCCACATCAACCTGAGATCTGGCCATCCTCCTGCTCTGGCGGGGCGGGCTATGCTGGCCCACCACATGGCACCCACGTGCCCGGAGGTATGCTTCCACGACCCCCGGAGCCCCTTCGGGGGGACTCTGTCACCTCTGAGGCCGACAGAAGGAGGCCTCCCTAGTTGTTAGGTCGCACAGCAGTAACAGTGCCCGGCTGCAGCCAGTAAGGGCAGCCGAGCACACGGCGCCACCCGCGATGAGCTGTGCGGTCACCAGCCCTGGCACTCAGGGCGGACGCAGAACCAGAGTTCACTCCCTTGGCTGCTTTAGAAGGCTGTCTTCTTTTTCATTCGGCTCACCTTTTATAAGGGTCCATGCTCCTGTTCATAATCATTCTTTTTATCTAGTCCCCGAAACCTGGCTCCCTTGGCAACCTGGTTCCCTAAACTTGTAGTCTCGTGCATTGAGCTGCATTCGTGCTTTTTCTGCCGTGCACATCCGTATCACTCTGACCAAAGCTATTAGTGTTGAAGAATCACAGCTGAAATGCTGTAGAGCTGGGGCAAGGCTCGGCACACTTGTAACAGAAGAGAAAACTCCAGGCTCTGATGGAGGAAGGATTAGGAATATTTAGTCTTGGAAAGCCTACTCTGTGCCATGAATTGGGAATTTTATTTTGGTAGCTCACTTCGACTCATCCAACCCTGACAACCACTTGGGGGGCAGGCATTAATGGAAGGTTAAGTGACTTACCCTGGTCACACAGCTCCTAGGTGGCAGAGGTGGATGGCACGCTCTCTAAGTCTGGCTCCGGAGCCCCTGCTCTCACCATATTGCAGAGGCTCAAGGTGCCTGGTGATCAGGAGGAGGTGAGGATGGGATGCAGACTAATCTTAGGTGTTCTGGTTGGTAGTTTATTGGTTGCCCCACCCCTGGTCCCACTGTAGGAGGCAGAAAGGTCAATTATGTCTAATCCGAGTGTGTGCACATAACTCTACCTGGACCGCCCACATGCATGCCCCTCATGGTGGGATGTGGCCAGCAACTGCAGCTCTGAAGACTTCCTGCCCAGGGAGAGACAGGAAGCCTACAGCAGCTCCCAACTGCATTCATCAGAGCCCCACTTCTCTTCACCACGGGCAGGGCAGAGGGTACCATAGAGAGGCAGGCGGTCTCTGCCCTCCCAGGCCCTCCTATCAAGCTGACGCAAAGGCTGAAGGAGAAATAACAGAAATCTTTGCAGATGGAATACCTTCTCTAGCCCATCCAGAATGGCAGAGCTGTTCACTCTGAGAACACTGGGGCACTCGTTTATGTCCCTTCTCTGAGCCTGGAGCACGTGAATAAGCATGTCAAGGGGAGGTTGGATTTGGGTGAGAGAGATTAGAGGGAAGGCAAGTTGGAGAGAGAAGCTGCCGGATGTGGTGCTGGATGCTTGGATGAAGAGCCTAGAAGCTTGTGGTTCATATTCAAGGATGGGTGGGTGGGACTGTGGTTCTCCCGTGTCCAAAGACAGGCGGACAGATGGCGTGTTCTCATGATTTCTGTGAGCCAGATCTCAGAAGGTGCTTGCTGGCTGACTAAAAATTGCCTGGACAGGATGATCCAGGTAGGGCAGGGTAGGCTTGGCAATCTATCTTAGAAAAGTTCCAGTCAATTCTGCATTTGGGAAATGCTACTGGGTATTTATGGGGCTTATCTAATTACACACCTGATAGTGGCTGATGTCTCACTGATTTCTGAGTTGGGTGAAGTGGGGAGGGGTGGGGAGAGAGGAAGAAAAGAGTTTGGTAAGGGGTCAAGGGCTTTCAGGAAACAACTCTAACATAACCATCTCCGTGTTGCAGGCAACTGCAGATACAGTCGTAGAGCTATTCTTAAGCCTCGAGAAAAGCAAAACCAAATAGGGTATGTGCCCAGGGACTGGCAAAAGCTATAATTTCCACCTAGGGCAAGAGGACAGAGCACTGAGATGACAGAACAGGACTGTGAGCTTGATCCCTGCCAAATGCTTGTAGAGACCAAAGCACGTGGGTCCTGGGCATTTACAACCAAATTCAGTGATCATTGGGAAACACAGAGGATTATTAAGAGAACAAAATGAGAACCTCATCTCACTTACTAGAGTTATACATTTAGTAATTTCAAGAGGAATTGCAGATGTAGTGAGTTTTTATTTTGGCAAAAATATTTGATGATCTCCTAGGGGAAAGCGTGTAAAGTGAGTACAGAACTTGTCTTCATACGCAAAGAAAGTGGGTTAGTGACTCTGTCAGCCAGGAAGGAAGTCACTAGCTTTATTCTAATCTTTGTCCAATTCAATCTCTGTTTGTTTGATTGTTTTTTAAATTCACGAGTCAGGTGCAAGCAAGCCTAGGGATGCTTATCAAGTTTGGAGGTAACAGTTGGAGAGCATAACTAACACCATATAAAACAATCAAAATTCAGAACTATCCAACAGCTTTGAATGCTAATTTGAAATCTGCAAGATGAAATGTTAGAGGGATAAATCTAGAATCTAGTGTTTAGGCTAAAACAAAAATAAAGCAACACAGAAAGGAGGAGACCTGACTTGCTATTCGTTTGTGTGAAAATGCTTAATATGAGTGATACATAGCAGAGTAAAAAGCCAAGCACTGTTATTGATGTAAAACAATAGTAAAAATAATGTCCAGTTTTGAGTACTCACTGTGTTAAACACTTTACCTCTGTTAATTCATTTAAGCCTCATAACTGTCCCAGGAGGTAGATTTTGCATGTGAAAAAAACAGTCTCAGAGAGGATAGGTAACCTGTCCGGAATCTTGGAGTTAGTGATTTGCAAAACAAGGTTTTAAACTCAGGTCTGTCTGACTCTGTGGTCCCCAGATCAGAGGAGGTGATACACAGACATGCTGTCCTCTGTGCTAGTAAGAACACATCTACAGTGATGTTCTTGATTCTGAGGACCCCATTTCGAGAAGAACATTTTTGGCAAAGCAGCCTGCCTGTGGAGAGTGGCAAGTCCT